CCCTCCCGGCGGCTCCGGTGCCCCCCGCGCCCCCAGACCCAGGCCTCCAGCTCCGAGCCTGGAGGTAGGAGCAGCAGAGGCAGGAGGACGAGGAGGAGGAGCCGTCGCAGGATGAAGGATCGGACTCAGGAGCTGCGGAGTGTGAGCTTGGGGGTGGGGAAAATGGGGGGAGGGACCCCACTATTTGGGCTGCGCGTGGGGGTGGAGTGGGGCAGGTGCTGGGATGCAGGGGCAGATGATGGGACTGGAGGTTGGTGGCAGGGGCACCACAATATCTGGAGGCACCTGATGTTCTCCAGTGAACCTGCATTTTGGGGACAGTGGCTGGAAGGGGTTAGAAGCTGTTGAGACACAAGGGGCAGGAGAGGTCTCAGGGGCCTTGGACACCCCACATTCCCAGGAGGGCCGTGGGGTCTAATCTGGGGATGGGAAGAGTGAATGTCAGGAAGGAATTGGAGGGTGCTGGCAGCCCCAGGCAGATTTATGGAATTCGAAGGATGGGGCTGTTATTGGGCCATGCTGTTAGTGGGACCCAGAGATGGGGGATGCTATGGGGAAGGACACAGGTTGTGACTGAGATGCCAACACCTGGCAGTGAATGCAGTGTGCATGTGTGTGTGCACACGTGTGTGTTGCTCTCCATGGGAAGGGACACCTCAGACACAAGGAGGGAAGGGGCTGCCTCAGGAGACAGCCAGGGCCTGAGATGGGGTGACCCCAGAGGTTGGAGGTGGGGTTGCAGAGGAGAAGGGGAGGAGGTTCCAGGCGCAGGGCCACGGAACTGGGTTGTATGACATGGACTGTGTTCTGCGGGGGGAACTGGGGCACCCTGAACAGTCAGGGCTGGCCGATGTGGGCCCCGTCTGCAGGCCTGAAGAGGCCAGGCTCCAGGAGTCTGGCCAGGCAGCGAGTTGTGCTTGGGTGACTGGTGTCTGCAGTGAAGGCTGCCATTTGGAGGGACTGGGGAGTGGGAGCTTGGTGAGAATGGTTTCTTTGGTGGGGAGGATGCTGGGGCATTTGGAGAAATCACCTGGGGCTCCGGGAGGCAGAGCTGACAACCTGCTGTGTGCTCACGTCTTGTGGTGGTATGTTAATAAAGCACTAGTCCCAGCCAACTTACTGCATTTGACAGATCAGGAAACTAGGGTTCAGAGATGGGCAGGAACTTGCCCAAGGTCACCAAGCAAGTGGGCAGCAGGATCAGACTGGAATGTGGGTTTCCTGTTTGCCAAGTTGACACATGTCTGCTTTTTTGGCCTTTGAAAGAGAAGTCTCAATCAACATGGGGGGGATGTTAAACAGCTCTGTCTTTGGAGAGCTCCCTGGATTTGGGGGTGGTTCACTGGCACAAGAGGAAGGGTCCCGGAGGCCAGTGATTGCCATCTCTGGGGAGAGATGGCCAGTGGGAAGGAAGGAGGAACTGGTGGTCCAGGGAGGGAATTGTGAAGGTTTATTTCTTTATTGAATTTACTGAATAGGCATCAGGAAAGTAACAGTAATAAAAATAACCAATGCTTATGTGCCAGACACTGTTTAAGTGTCTTATACTCATTTTGATATTAACTCATTTTGATTGTCACAGAAACCCTAGGAGGCTGAAACCAGTATTATCCCATTTTATAGATAAGGAAACTGAGGTCCAGAGAGATTAAGTAACTTAACTGAAGTCACGTAGCTTATAAAAGGCAGCCAGGCAGGCTGGCTCCATCAGGGCTCTAAACTACCCTTCTCTCAAGATGCAGTTTTCATCCAAAGCAGGTTGCCATCCATAATCTTTTAGACGCTCACCCACCTCCTGGAAAGGTAGATAGACTGAGAGACTACCTCATTTTATAGTTGAGGAAACTAAAGCCTAGAGTGGTTAAATAATTTGCCCAAGGTCACACAACTAGCGAGTGAAGAGTCCAGATTTGAACCAAGATCCCCTGCTGCCAAGACTATCCATGACTCCAAAACTCAGAGAAATGGAACATGGGTTGGGGTGAGGTGGTGGCATTGTGGTACAATTAGAGAGGGAGGGAGTAGGGATGGAGGAGTAGGCAGGGGAGCCTTCATCTGAGCGGGTCAGGGGACCCTGCCCAGAGCTGAGGAATCCTGTCTGCTGGGGGCTACTGGGGGTGGCCAGGTGGAAGAGATGGGAAGTGGTGTGGAGGGGTGAAGGGGGCTGGGTGGCTGTTGATGGCTCTGGTGTTAGTCATAGTTCTAGGAAACTGGAGGTTTGGGAGGGGGTGGGTGGAGAGGAAAGAAGCTGCCAGATGTAAGGAGTGCTGAGGGTCTCCCTGCCAGAGTTAAGAGCAAGGAGGCTGGGAAGCAGGAGAAACTGAAGAGGGTGTGGGAGGCCTGGGAAAGGGCTCTCGTAAGAGGCTGAGGGGGATGGGGGGCAGTGGTGGGAGGGGATATCAGCCCAGGGGGCCTGATTATCTTTCCAACAGTACTTTAGAGTTCCCAAGGGGTTGTCAGATATGTTTATCACATAGCAGTTGAGGGCACAGATTTGGGAGTCAGACTGTCTGGGTTCAGATCCTAGCTTTGCTACTTCCTGTGTGACCATGGATAAGTTGGTTAACCTCTCTGATACTCAGTTTTTTTTTCCTGTGTGAGTTCAGAGTAATTCACACTTAGCAGGGTTATCCTAAGGGTTAAAATTAGTTACTATGCAAAAAGAACCTAGAAGAAGGCCTGGTGCCCAGCAGTGCTTTATGAATGTTTGTTTTTCCACAGCTGACTTATTTCTCTTGAACCTCTGAGGTGGGCAGGATGTGACCCTAATTTATTTTAGAGTAAATTGAGGGCCACACAGGTAATCTGACTTGCTCAAGATCACACAGCTGTTAATGGCAGAGCCAGGGTCGAACCAGGGTTTCCTGTCTCCAGTTCACCAAACCCCTTTGGTTGGGAACTGCGAGGTGCTGGGCTGGAGTGGAGCCTGCAATCAGGGTTAATCAGCTGGATTGGTGTCCTAGGATCCAAGGACTGGGGCCAGGGATGGGGCTCAAGAGAAGAGGAAGGGGAGTGAGGGGGAGAAGAAGGCTGGTGGGAGAGGGAAAGCACTAGAGCCTGTGAGGCCGCTGTGGAGTGGGAAGGCAGGAGACAGAGGAAATGGGGAGACTGGGAAATGGGGGAAGGCGAGGCCTGTGCTGAGCAGGGCTTGACTCAGGCCTGGTGGGAATGGGGGCTGTTATAGGACAAGTCCTACGCCTTGAGGGCAGGGACTGAATCGTATGTGTAACTCAGGTATGGACAGGCAGGAGGTGCTTTAGCGAGGCAGGCCTGAAATAACAAGGGAAGAGTAGTTCAGTTTGTCCAACAGGGGACAGAGACCAAGAGAACCCTGGTGATGAATTGGCACCAGCCAGCTGCACTGGGCTTGTTTCTGCTGTTCAGACAGCAAGTTCCACCCCTTATTTTGAGGACCTTTGCACTTGTTCCCTCTGCCCGGAACGCTGGTCCCTCTGTTTTGAATGCTATCCGCTCTGCCTGGAACACTCTCCCCTCTGCCTTGAATTCTGTGTTCCCCAGATTGTGGCACAGTTGACTCCTTCAGGACTTAGCTCAAGTGCCAACCCCCCAAAAGGCCCTCCCTGACCATCCTGTATAGAGCCACCCCTGGTGCTTGTTTCCCTCTCTCACGTCTCCTGGTCTCTCTCCCTCCTGCTATTTAGCACAATCTGAAATTGTCTTGTTCATTTTTCATTGTCTGTCCCCCTCCGCTGGAATGTCAGCTCTTTGGAGGCAGGACCTTCTTTCTGTCTTGTTCGCCACCTTTCTCAGCAGCACCTGGAAGAGAACTTGGCACAGATCATACGTCCTTAGATGAATGAATGACTCAGTGGAGCAGAGGAGTGAGTGTGAGGCAGGGAAGGGGAGCGGAGAGGGGGGCTGGGAAGCTAGGCTGCTCGCTGGGAGGACGAGAGGCGCAGGTCAGGGGGACAGATGGACAGAAGGGGGGATACAGTGGAGATGGGCTGCTGCCGCTAGACCAAGAGATGCTTGCACTCCTGAGGAGCACGTGTGAGCACGCGTTTGTGTACATGGGCCTGTGTGTGTTTACACACACATACACACACACACACACACACTCTGTGACTTTTCTCTCACCCAATTCCAGTCTCTTTCACCCTCTGTTTTAGTCACCCTCTCATCATCTGTCTCTTCGGTCACTGACTTGCTGGTTCACATTGTCCCTGTCCTTCTTCTAGCTACACATCTGTCTGTGTTGTCTCCTGTCATTGACACACACACAAAGGCCCTTGGTGTCTACTGGGGAAGGACTGAAGCTAGAGGCTTGGATCTGATTACCCCTATTCCCAAGGCAGTTCCTGGGGTGCCCAGGATCTCTGCTCTCTTCTTTAATCCTCTCAAGCCCTTGAGGGGTTGTCGAGCGGTAAAGAACAAAGTGTGTGGGTTCAAATCCAGGCACCACCCTATCGGCCCCCATCAACTGTGTAATCTTGGGCAAGTTACTTAATCTCCCCATGCCTCAGTTTCCTCATTTGTCAAATGGAAATAAGGATAGTATCTACTTCATGGAGTGGCTGTAAGGATTAAATAAGAAATTCAGCCTGGCTGGGCATAGCTCAGCATCGACCTAGGATCCAGGAGATCGCAGTTCAATTCCCAGTCAGGACACATGTCCTGGTTGTGGGCTCGATCCCCAGTTGGGGGCGTGCAGGAGGCAGCCGATCAATGACTCTCTCATCACTGATGTTTCTCTCTCTCTCTCTCTCCCTCTCCCTTCCTCTCTCTGAAATCAATAAAGATATATTATTTAAAAAAAAGAAAAGAAATTCAAAGCACTTGTAACTGGGCCCAACTTGTGGTAATCAGTACTTATGTGTTGTTTAGATGTATATAATTCTTTTTTTTAAAATATGTTTTTATTGATTTCAGAGAGAGGAAGGGGGAGAGAGAGAGAAACATCAATGAGAGAATCATTGGTCGGCTGCCTCCTGCACACCCACTACTGAGGATCAAGCCCGAAACCCAGGTATGTGCCTTGACAGGGAATTGAACCTTGACCTCCTGGTTCGTGGGTCAGCGCTCAACCACTGAGCCACGCCGGCTGGGATCCATTGATTTTTAGAGAGTGGAAGAGAGGGAGTGGAAGGAGAGAGGGAAAAACAGTGATGTGAGAGAGACACATCAATTGTGCTTCCCACATGCTTCCCACATTCGACCAGGGCTGGGGATCGAACCTGCAACCCAGGTACGTGCCCTTCACTGGAATCAAACCCAAGACCCTTTGATGGTATATTGATGCTTTAACCACTGAACCACACAGGCCAGGGCAAGACATACTATTTATTTAATTAATTCATTCATTTAAATATATCTATTGATTTCTGAGAGAGGAAGGGAGAGGGAGAGATAGAAACATCAATGATGAGAGTCATTGATCAGCTGCCTCCGGCACGCCCCCTACTGGGGATTGAGCCCGAAACCCGGGCATGTGCCCTGACCGGAATCGAACCGGTGACTGTTTGGTGCATGGGAGGACGTTCCAACCAACTGAGCTACACCAGCCAGGGCTAGATGTACGTATTCTTATTTCTTCATTTTGCTCATGAAGGCATGAATTGTCCGTAAAGTGGATCGGGCACATTTGATCAACTTTTCCTAGGTACTCTCATTTGCCCACAGCCTCTCCTTTAGGCTGGCCAACTTCCAGAAACAGGCTGTGCTTACTGTTAAACAGGTACACCTCAGAGCAGGGAGGGGTGAGCACATGTGCGGGCCCACCCATTTCACAGCTGAACTGGAGCCCAGAGAGGGGCTGAGATTCTCCTAGGGTCACACAGCAAGTCATGTGGAGGCTAGAATGCCTGGCTTCTTGTGTGAGCTCTTCCTGCACCCACGCACCTCTTATGCTTTTCTGTACTGGCCACAGGAGTTTAGCAGTAGTGAGGACACAGCAGAACAGACTCTTTGGGGCCAGGTAGGAACAGAAGGAGGGGAAAGAGCCTGGGATTTAGCACCGAGCAGTTCAGCTCCCACCTTTGGCCTTTTTTGCTGTGAAGCCTTAGACAGGTCAAGTAACTTCTCTGAGCATGTTTAATCATCTGTAACCTGGGAGGGGAAGGGGTAGTAGCCAACCCCCACTGAGCATTCGTTCTCTCCCTGGCAGCATGAAGCAGTTTTCCTGACTGCTTTCACTGCCCTCCTGCCCACCATGTGGGGTAGACATTATTGCTATTCAGCAAATGCAGAGGCTGAGGCTCAGAGGGGAGAAGTCATGTGGCCTTTTAGCTCCTGGCTTGGGCAAGTTCCTTAGCCTCTTATGTCTGTTTCCCCATCTATAAAAGGGGGCTATGATAATATCTACCTCAGGGGTTATGTATAAGAATTAAATGGATAGCCCTGGCTGGTGTGACTCGGTTGGTTGGAGTGTCGTCCCATGCACTGAAAGGTTGCTAGTTCGAATCCCCGTCAGGGCACATACCTAGGTTGCGTGTTCGATCCCCAGTCAGGGTGCATACGGGAGGCAGCGATGGATGCTTCTGTCTCACATCAGTGTTTTTCTCTCTCCCTTCCCCTCTTTCGAAAACCAATAAAACATTTTTAAAAAGAAGTAAATGGATAAATATATGGATAAATGGAGTGCGTAGAATGGTATCCATGCTATGTAAATGTTTGCCATAATTATAGTGATGTTGGTCAGTGGTCCTCAGAGAGTTTTAATGAAGCTTAAAAGAGATAACAAGAGCATAAGGTCTGTGTAAAGGTGCTGTTAAATGATAATATTTTGCCGGGACTTCAGGGCAGAGCCTCACCCAGATTGGGCCTTAGCAGGAGCTACCTGAGGGGGAAAATAACTGGCGGCAGAGTTGCTGGAACGAGGTGGCCTAGTCTCCAGCCTTAGCAGGGGCTGTGGGGAAGGCCCTGCTTAGATGCCTGTGATTTCAGCTTGGGTGCCCTCAGGAAAGTCACTTTCCTTTTTCCCCTCTGACCTCCTGTTCCCTCATCTGTGAAATGGGGACAATGACATCTGCCTCTCCTCTCTCAGCATGGCTCTGGTGGAGAGGATCAAAAGGGATTATAGATGCAAGTGTTTGTGAACTGTAGAGGATTGTTAACGCTCAGCTCTCTGTAATTATTATACCAAATAGGTCAGACTTGGGTCCTTTACCTTTTTTTCCTGTCTCAAGGGCAGGGAAATAGGCAGATAGCATGCCTCAGGGCAGAATCTAAGGAACTGGCTCTGGGAACAACAGGAGAGACAGAAATTAGACTTCAGGACGTCGAAAGTCAGCATGGGGAAGGGTAAGAGACAGAACAGGAAAGTGAGAGACCTCATGCCCCGTGGGTAGCTGGGCTGAGTTGAGTGCTTGAAGGCAGAGAAGGGACAGAGGACTAGGTTTTGGTGCCAGGGGAAGGAGTTCTCATGGGGCAGCTGGTTTTTTGAGGACAGAGCATCTCAGAGTCTCTAAGGGCCAAGGTCTATCGGGGTGGTCCCAGGTCAGGTAGAGGCTTGAGAAGCCAGAAGTCCCATCAGCGTCCCCAAGCCCTACCTGGTGCCACCCCTACTTCTGGGGCAGCTGTGGGCAGAGATGGAGGAGCCCCCCTTTCCCGGTGGATTTTTGAGATTGTCTGGAAATTAAATGTAAGTGCTAAACACACTTTTTGATGTGGTGTGGGGCCCAGTGTCTGTGGGGAGGATTCCTGGGGTTTTGAGGGCATGAAGCTGGGGTGGCTTCGAGAGTGTCCGGCTGAGTCTTCTCTGGGCTTGCGGGTTCTTTCCAGTGCTGTCGGGGCTCTGCTGATTGCGAGTTCACCTGGATGTCTAGGTTGCATTTAGGTCCCATCTGGCTCTGTGTCTATGTTCGATCTGAGCTGTCTGGGATCTGTCTGTGCCGAGTCTGGTTCGGTCTGAGCCTGTCTGGTTTCTGCTAGGTCCTGTCTGTGATCTACTTGGACCTTATTGAGGTTCCATGTGAGCTTTTCTCTTTAGATTTTTGGATCCTGTTTTGATTTCATTCAGGCTCTGGTACTTAAATTCTGAGTTTTTTTAGGTTCTTTCTGGAAATCAGGGTGAATTCCGTTTAAGTTTCCATTGGGGCTGATTAGGGCTCCAGATGTAATTACGCTTGAAGGTTTCAGCTTTTGTGCTCAGACTTCTGTCCCAAGCAGAGAAGTCTTGAGTCAGGAGTGTGTAGCACTGGGGAGCCCTCCCTGCCCCCTCTCCTTTTTCCCAGCTCTCAGCGAGTGTGCAGACCTGAGGCTCCGAAAGGCTGGGAGAACAGGCTCAGAGGGCCCTCCCGAGTGCCCCTGGGGGGTGCGGCTGACCCGCTGGGTCCACACGTATCAGCATGCAGCACTGCTGTGGGCCTGTGTGCGGGTGAACATCAGCATGTCAGTGTGTCTCCGAGTGGATGTCAGTGGGTCTGTCTCTCTGTGTGCCTTGTGTGTCAGCCCTTCTGTCTGTATCACTGGTCTGTCTCTCCGTGGAGGTGTGGGTGGATAAATCCCTTTGTGTCTCTGAGCCCTGGGGGTGGAGGGCTGAGCAGCTGCAGGTTGCAACTAGGAAATCCAAGCAAGTGAGAGTAGGTGGGTGTGAAGTTGGAAGAGGCTGGGTGAAAGCAAGTGAATACATCGAGGAGAGTCGGAGTCAGTGGGGGCAACGGGGCAGGCAGGCTGAGGGGCTGTGGGTGGGCAGGAGGAGGAAGACACAAGGAGCGAGGGAGGTCGGGGGTGCTGCTTGTCTCCTCCAGCCCTCACTGGGCCTGACTGCTTGCTCAGCCGGCGCTGCCTGCAGCTGGCAGTGAATTGACCTTGCACAGGGGACGTGACTGGAGGGGAAGAGGAAGGGAGCACAGCTAGGCCTGGGCCCGGGTGGCTGGGGGATGGTGGAGAGGGTCAGGCTCCTGGGACTCCATTCCAGACCCCTTCTCGGAGCCCAGAGCCAAGTATTGCAAGGGTGACATTTAGCTGGTGGTTACTGTACTGAAATACTTCCATACTGGTTGGTTAATAGCAGGTGTCCTGAGCACCACCTGTCTCCAGGGTGACCATTCACAGGGCCACATCCACCCCCAAGAAGGCACCTTTTGCTAATTCCCCATCACCTACCTGGCCTCCCATATGCTGTTCCACCCAATAGCCCATGTTCACCCTGACTGCCTGGGGCCCTGGCCGTACACCCTGCCTATGACCCTCCCAAGACCCCTGCTCTGAGCCTGGAGCGGGGAGCAGCAGGACAAGGGCGGGGCTGCTCATGGTCTCCATCTTTCTTTGCCTCCCAGGCGAAAGACAGCGATGATGAGGAGGAGGTGGTCCATGTGGACCGGGACCACTTCATGGATGAGTTCTTTGAACAGGTAACTGAGCCTCCAGTACCCCAGACCCAGAACCTGGCCCCCACTTCCACACCTCTTGGCCTTTTACCAGTCCCTCCGGGTCTGGCCGATTTCCCTGAACCCTGAGTGAGCCCCGTGGATGCCCTTGTCTGGCCTGAAGACTTGGCTGGGTATAGCCAATTTGCTGCCCCAGGTGGAAGAGATCCGGGGCTGCATCGAGAAGCTGTCGGAGGATGTGGAACAAGTGAAAAAACAGCATAGCGCCATCCTGGCTGCCCCCAACCCGGATGAGAGTGAGTGCTGTTGCGGAGTGGCTGTGGGCTGGGGCCTGGGGTCCACCCAGACTTCTTACTCACCCTGGCCCCCTCCTCAGAGACCAAACAGGAGCTGGAGGACCTCACTGCAGACATCAAGAAGACGGCCAACAAGGTTCGGTCCAAATTGAAAGGTGAGGATTGCAATTCCCTGACTAAGGAGAAAAAGAGCTCTCTGCCTTCCAGTGAACCAAACAGGCCTTTCTATCAGGAATGTCTGCGAACTTCTAGGAGCCAGATTCTTAAACAATGAGAAAAAGCACAAAGCCCCAGTTTCCCTCCTTGCCCCCGGTTCTTTGGAGAAAGAGACACAACAGGGAAATGAGGGAGAGGAGACTGTCTGCCCAAATTGTATATGAGCTCTGCTGGTTCCGTCAGCATGAAGGTCCATCAGAAAAATACAGTCTCCCAAGTGGCTTTAGTTTCATTAAGGCCTCATTTCTCCATAACAGGTGCCAGGCATAGTGCTAAGCACCCAGTAGGTGGGGTCAGCAAATGCTTCTGAATTGGTATCCTCAGCTCAGGACAGATTGGACTGTGTGGCTGACATCAGGGCTGGCAAGCTCTCAGGAGGGACTTGCCAAATGCTCATGTATTCACTCTAATTTAAGGACTTGGGTGCTGGTAATAACCACCTTCCCCCAAAGCACTGTGGGTTGGGAACCTCCTTGTCTGCTGGTGCCAGGGGAATAGCAGTGTTACCGTAACGCTAATTTGTATGCTCATGGTAATTCAGCAGCAGAAAACATTTGCTAAGCACCTACTCTGTCCGAGCCACATTGCTGGGCTTTGGGGAAAAGGAACCATGTCAGATGCCTGGGCCTGCGTGCTCTGACCTTGGTCCAGGGAGATGAGGAGAGAGACTTGATGCCCTCCTGGACTTCACAGGAGGCCATGTGTTAGCCTCCAGTGCTAATCTGTAAAAACAAACCTTTTGCAACTCAGGAGAGTGTGCTGGAAAGGAAAATGACCTAAACTGGGAGCACATTAAGTACAAATCCAGGCAGAAGGAGCCCAACTTATATCATCACTCATTCTGGACAAGTACCCCACCCTCAGCTTCCGCTTCAGTACAGTAAGAAAACCAAGCAATTTCAGAGCTGTTTTTTTTTGTTTTTTTGGTACCAAAATTCTTTCTTTCCCAAATGAAATCTTACAAAGAACTCCAGTATATACAGCACATAAAAGTCAGTTTGTTCTGGCTGAATTGGGTGGGGCTGGAAGGCCCAGGGCTTCCCCTTCACCCCCATCAAGTTCCTTCTCGGAACCAGGGTTCCATGGAACACAGTTTAAAAATCCCTGGCTCAGTGATTTCTTGGGCCCATCAAGCTCTGACCTTGATAGTCTCTCTGTTAGACCATGAGGAGGGCTCCGTGGGTTAGGGGTTCAGGAATAGATCAAGAAACTGGAAAGAGCCCTGGCTGGTTTTCTCAGTGGTTAGAGCGTCGGCCTGCGGACTGAAGGGTCCCAGGTTCGATTCCAGCCAAGGGCACGTACCTCGGTTGCGGGCTCAATCCCTGGCCCCGGTCGGGGCGTGTGCGGGAGGTAACCAGTCGATGTGTCTCTCTCACATCGATGTTTCTTTCTCTTTCTCTCTTCCCCTTCCACTCTCTCTGAAAAACAATGGAAAAAATATCCTCGGGTGAGGATTTAAAAAAAAAAAAAAAGAAACTAGGAAAAGTGGCAGTGGCTTAGAGAAGCTGATCCTCCAGACCTCCAGAAAAAGAGAGAAGATTCTCTTCTCTGTCTTCCTCCAGCTACGTGGTGGCCTGAGCTCAGGTTTTGTGTGTGACTGAGTCCTTTTACCCATTCGAACCTGAGTTTCTAGCCTGAAACATGGACTAATATCATTGAACTCCCAGGATTGCTGTAAGAAGTCAGTGAGAACATAAAGTAAAGGACCCCTTCGTCCAGGCCTAGGCCCCAGTCCCAAGTCTGACAATAGGATATGAGTCTGGGCCAGAGATTCGGACATCCCTGGGTGTGTGTTCCTGTGCTTTTCCTGTAGCAGCTGGGCCAAAGCTGTCACTCAGTCACTGTCCCGCATTGCTGGCAGGGAGTGTCGGGGTGTCATCCAGCCCCTACCTCCCCTGCTGCCAGCAGAACAGAGAACTGATGTTCTCAGGAATGGCCTGGAGGCCCTTCCGGGTCTGAGAGGACCTGGTGGTGATTCATCCCTGCTGCATTTTCCGAGCACAGTAGATCTTACCACAAGCTCTTTTTTAGAAAATCTGAGTAAGTGTCAGGAGTGCATGATCCAGAAGCAGTTGATCTGTGCGCTTTTCCAAAACATCCTTTAGAAGTGGGAATTCCCGGGACAGGGATCACCTTGCAGGGCAGGGGGAGAGCTAATTACTCTGTTGGAACATCCATCCAGTATAGAATTTTCCAAGGAAATGGCGGCCACTGGAACCTGACCCACCTGGAGATGCCTGCCTCCCACCAGAAAAATTCCAGGGTGGGTTCCTGCCCCTTTCCAGAGGATGCAGCAGGTGGAGTTCCCTGCATACCGGGGACTTTCACAGTCGACTGGGCCCACTCTCCCTCGGACTGGGCCACAGTTACAGCTATGGGACCTTTCAGAGCCCAAGCCTCCGACGGAGCAAACAGTCCCCTTCTGTCTGGTCACTCACCCACCCTCAGTCTCCATCCCACCTGCCTTTCTGACCCCCTCAAACGTCTGTCCCTTTACTTTTCGGCCCCCTGCCCCTCACCCTGGATCCTTTACTGTCTGCCTTCGCCACGGGTGTGACATCTCTTCACAGGCCTGGGGCCTGCCTCGGGGTGTCGGCCCTTCATGCGTCCCGGACCCCCGCCCCACACGCCCCGGGTCTGCGGCCCGTCACTGCATCCTCTCTCCCGCAGCGATCGAGCAAAGCATCGAGCAGGAGGAGGGGCTGAACCGTTCCTCCGCGGACCTGCGCATCCGCAAGACCCAGGTGGGAGGTGGCGCCCGGGGGGCGGGACCT